AGTGCATCCTCCTTTACCTTTCAACAAAATTTGGTGCAAAAAAATGAACATATGTTACTTGGCCTGCTCGAGCAAATCGATGAACAATGGGAGGACAGTGACAGTGATATACATATATATACATAAATATACATTTAATAAATATACATAAATATGTATATATTTATGCATGTTTATGGCCAACTATATATTTACATATGCAATACAAAATAATTAGAATACATTTTCTCTGTTATTACTTTCTGATTTCTTTACAGTTTTTCACCACAAACTAGAACTGAAATGATAGGTATTAATCAGAAGTGGAGAAAGGGTAATCTGCACAATAATTTGAGCATAAAAAATTAAAACTAGGGATAAGAGAGAGAGTATAGGAGGTAAAATGCTTGCTTTGCATACAGCCAACCCAATTCTATCCCTGGCACCTCATTTTCGTCTGAGCACCTTTAGGGGGCCCTCCTGAGCATGGAGCCAGGACTAGCCCCTAAGCACTGCTAGGTGTAGTTCAGAACCACCTCCCAAGTAATTAATTTGTAGTCAAAGATCAAACATTACTTGTTAAACACTGTGCTGATAGAATAAAATTTCATGTAACTGCAAAAATAGCAGAATAGGTACCAATTATGTGTGTGCTTGTGTGCGTGTATGTGACATAAATGGTTTTGAAATATATTTAACAATAAAATTTTCTTTTAATTTTATACTTTGGAAAGAAAAATAAGTAAATGATGGGGGTATGGTCCCGCCAGCAGGTCAATCTGTACCTGTGAGTGAGTGCATCAACATCCTGATGGCACCGTCAGACTTTCAGATACCCCAAAATTGCTGCTGTGCCTTTGGCCAGACCCCAAAAACTTGGGGCAAAGTTTACAAATAAAGTAAACGGCCAAAAGTTAGGTATGTGGGAGACACACCCACAAACCACCTCCGGCTCAGCTATATAATTGGAGGCATGGCCTCTCTTGTTCCTGACTGAACTGGTTAATGGCCATGATCCCAGAGACTCAGAAACAAATCTCTGAACCCAAAGGCTTTTGGCAGAAATGCATCCTGTTCCTGCAGTAGGTTACTGGGGCTGGGCCATTCCAGGAGGGAATAGGTTTCTTTCCTTGGCCTGTTCCCCTTGGCGGCCCAGTGATCATCATCCTCCAGAGGCCACTGGACAGTCAGGTTTGGGCCTGCAGTAACGAGACACGCAGGGCCTCACCAGATGGAGGTGGAACTGGCCCTTTCCTCCCCAATCCAGAGAGACCTCAAGTTGCCGCCTACGAACAGCCTCTCTGGCTCCTGATCAAGCTGATTAATAGCCATGATCCCAGAGACTTAGAAACAAATCTCGAAACCCAGCGGCTTTTGGCAGAAATGTATGTGGACCACATACACGGCCATGACTCCAGAGGCAAAAGGACTTAATCCAGAGCCTGGCAGCTTGTGGCAGAAAAGTGAATGGACAATGTGTTAAACTACGGTGCTATGCCTCCCCGGGAGGGAAAGGGTGTTGCTCCCTTCCACCTTTCTCCCGAACCTGGCAGCAAGGTGGCCGCCCTCAGAGCTCATTGGAAAGCCAGGTATGAGCCGGCAGTGATGGGGCAACTGCAGTCTCATAGGAAGGGGGGCAGTACCGGCTCGTCCTTCACGCCCTACTGAGGTCCTGAGTTGCCCCCCACAAGCAGCTCTCCGGCACAACCATAACACCAGACGCATAGAAACCAATCTTGTAATTATCTGGCTCTTTGCAGAAATCCAAAATTGTGCGGCTGCTATGCGGCCGCGCAACATTATATGATCCTCATAACCAGCTATAGAAAACAAAGTATTTCACAAAGACTTTTCAGCAATTCTGATTGTTGGGGAGGAAATTCTAGACAATAATGGTGCATCTTTTGTCGAAATAATGAATCTAATCAATGTAGAGAAGAGTTAAGTGGAAATTATCTGCCTCACAGACATTGGGAGGGGTGGGGGAGTATATTGAGATTCTTGGTGGGGAAAAATGAGTACTGGTAAAGGGAGAGGTGTTTGATCATTGTATCACCGAGACATAAACCTGGAAGCTTAGTAACTTCTCCCACAGTGATTCAATAAATAAATATAAGATGAAAAATAAACAAATAAATAAATAAACCATGAAAGAAAAAAAAAGTAAGGTGGAGTTCATGCCCAATTCAATCAGCTAATTGGTGTCTGAATAAATAGCAATACTCCTATATAAGAAAAAAAATGAGGGGCTGGAGCAATAGCACAGTGGGTAGGGCGTTTGCCTTGTATGCGGCCGACCCGGGTTCAATTCCCAGCATCCCATATGGTCCCCTGAGCACCGCCAGGGGTAATTCCTGAGCACAGAGCCAGGAGTAACCCCTGTACATTGCCGGATGTGACCCAAAAAGCAAAAAAAAAAAATGAGTAAATGATGATCCAATTGTATATTAAAGAAATAAGTTTCTTTTACTAAAAATACAAAAACTTCTTTAAAAACTTAAGGATGCACCATATCACTCATATCAGCTCTCAATGGTACTATTGCAGTACTCTCCTGACTGACTCCATTTTCACTACCGTTAAGATATCTTCCTCAAAATAGTCACAAAATAAAAACTATTTGGTGGAGGTTATGGTGTGGAAATGTGACACTGCCTAAAACACATATAATGTGTAGCTAAAACACATATAATCCTGCAATATATTTCATTAAAAATCAAATAAAATATAAATTGGTGTTATTTACCTGCTCAAACTTTTCTTCTTTCATTTGTTAATTTTGATTCTTCTTTGTTGTCTACTAAATGACGTTTAGGGGCAGGAGTATGGCTTGGCAGTAGAACATTTTGCCTTTATGTGTGAAGTCCTGAGTTAGATTCCTAAAACCATTAAAAATAAAAGGGGGTGGGGGAAAGATATGATATATAGACAAAATAAAGCTTAAATTCCTTTTGTATTCCATAACCCACACAATTTAGCTCCTTTCAACTAAGCCTCTCTTATAGCTTAGTTTCCTTTGTATTTTATGGGGAGAGGGCTTTGTTTTGATTTTTGGTTTTGGGGCCACACCAGGTGATGCTTAGCACTTACTCCTGGCTCTGCAGTCAGATATGGCTCCTGGCAGTGCTCAGGGGACCATATTGGATACTAGGGATTGAACCCAAGCTAGTCACAAGCAAGGCAAATGCCCTACCCTCGGTATTATCTCTCTAGCCCCTCAAACTTTGTTTTAATAATTTGTACCAATTTTATGTTCCTTCCAATTTATGCCACTTTGTCATCATTCTATGATATTGTTCATGTTTCTCCCAACAGCTGACCATGCTCCCCACCTTTCTATAAGCTTGCATATTTTTTATTTAAGAGAACTCAGCTAACATTTTCTAGCCCGAGTAGTTTTGATGATTTCTTGGGTTTCCATAGTATCCTTTGTTCTCTGCAGCTACCAAATCATATTGAAATTAGCTCTTAGTAGGTAAATTAGTAGGTAGAGTAGAAATCAGTAGGTAGAGAAGTCTACCTACTGCCAATAAACCATACGTCTCCTTAGGACATAAGCATGTTCAGTCATCTTATATACCCAGCATCTATCCAATCCAGTGCTTAGAATATAGCAGATACATATAATCCTGTAAATTACCAAATTAGGAATTGCGAACTTCAAATATTCCATTTCTGTCACTCTAGAGTCCATCTCCTACCATAAAAGAGTACCTGAAAAATTACAGGCGTGAATAGCCAAATGAGTCATAATGGGTCAGAGTTTGCTATCTTTTTAGCCAAATTTACTAAGAAATCGTTTACCACCAACCATTCTCTTCCAAGAGAATAAAGAACTGGAATTTTACTCTGTTCGATGCCTTATTCAGAAGTAAACGACCTGTAGGTTGAAGGAAGAATCAAAACGTCACCTGCAAACTGAATATTCATTTCCCTCTTGTGAGCATTCATGTGCACTATCAATGAGACTGAAAAACTTTTTAGGCCTTAAGTTTTAAAAATAATTGAACTAGTGACAGAATTACTTTCTTTCCTTTACACATCTCACCCCTATTTTATTTTGGAGGCACATTAGAAATTTATTTTGTGCTATTAGCCAAGAATAGTGTTAAGATCTGAGATAAGATTATCTCATTCAACCTTTATAGCAAGTCAATGAAGTAAGTACTATTATTAACTTCATTTTACGGAGAAGGAAAATAAAACTTGAAGAGGTCAAGTTACATGCCTGAGACATATCTCTTAGATCATCAGACACAGGAACCTGGGTAGTCCAATTCCTCGACTATAGTTTAGATGTACCCTAATACTGACCTATAAATGGTAAAATGAAATAATAGTGATTCTAATTGGTTTTTATTTAATTGTTTTGGGGCACACACCAGCAGTGCTCAGGGCTTACTCCTGACTGTGCTCAGGGGACCCTATATCGTTCCAGGATTGAAGTCAGGTCAGCTACATGCAAGGCAAACACCTCCCTGCTGCACTATCTCTCTGACCCCAAACACCCATAATAATTGTTCCATTATAAATTGTTCCTAACTTCTGGTAAGTGGCAATCTATTAGGCTGCATAAATCAAGTTGTCAAGTTTTGTTTTTAATGATACTTTGAAACTTATAGAGGTGTTATTAACTGTAATCTTAAGCCTTTAGAGTATTTTAAACTTTAGGGATATTGGGGAAACTAATTACCCACATTAGTGTGTATCCTTTGGAATTAATTGAAGTCTTATTATTAGAATATTTTAAAATAAAATTTCTTATTTAGGACACTTTCAATTAGCATATAATTTTCCAGGAAAAAAAAACAGCTTTCATGTGGAAAGAAATTCTCCAAATTGCTATTGCTATGTAAAAACTAAAAAGTTTTGTTTTTAAAAAAACAACAAAATACAAAACAAAAATTAATTTTTTAAAAAAACCTGCTTTTCACTTTTTAGGCAGCATAAGTTTTCTCATAAAGCTGACCTCCTTTTTGGAAATGATTTTTGTTTTCAACCCTTGTTGAAAATCTCTCTCTCTCTCTCTCTCTCTTTCTCTCTCTCTCTCTCTCTCTCTCTCTCTCTCTCTCTCTCTCTCTCTCTCATAGCAAGGAGGAAGGCGGGCAGTAGGCACAGGAAAAAGGAAAAACAGAAAACAGAAAAAGAATTGTATGCCACTATGTCTGACTAGACCCTCTACTTAAATAATTCCATCTGCATTTTAGCCTTTTTATTTCCGTTTTTGGATGCCTCTTTTATCATCCAGCCATCCAGCCGAAGGAGATAGACAAAGCACTGCTGGTGCCCTGAGCGACAGAACTCTGGTGGGGGGCTGGCTGTAAATCGACGTGGCATGGAAATTCTCCGCTAAGTTGTAGCAGCCTGTGTGCTTCTCTAAAATCAAGCCCAGCCGCCGCGAGCGGTAGCTGCATCATCATGGGCGCAACAACACTCCAAAAAAATGGATAGAAAAAGTCTTCAGCTGCTTTCTTTGGACTCAAGTGTCTTCCTTTTGCGCATCTATGGTTTAAGTGGGGAGGGGAAAATCAAAGCAGTCAAGTCTGTAACTTTCTTTTTGCAGCTTTAACAACAGAATTTGCTGCTCTCCCTCCCCTATCCTGCAATCTAATTCCTTACAGATTTGCCATGGGGTGCGGACTCAGAAAGCTAGAAAATCCTGATGAGAGCAGCCCTGGAAAAATATTTTCAACTCTGAAGAGACCGCAAGTGGAAACAAAGACAGACTTTGCTTACGAATATGTATTGCTGGATTTTACTTTACAAGGTAAGTTTAATCCTATTTATTAAATGTTTCAAAGAGAGGGAAGTACTAGTTGGTTTTTTTTTTAAGTATTAGCTTGTGAATTTTTCAACTGCTCTTCATAATCAAATTGCATGATCAAACAATAGATATGCTTTGCTAATTATATTTTGAAAGCAATTGCTTCATTTTTTAAAAGGAAGACATGGCTCCTATGTTTATAAAATTAGAAAAATTACCTGTAATTTTTTTTTCTTTCGTTTTTCAATCAAATGCTTGTTTGTAGAAGATACATGTTTGATTACCAGGCCAAGTCACCAGAGCAGTAATGACAGTTAGTGTTTTGGGGGGTGGGGGGGGGAAGATTTGAAAGGTAGAAGAACACAGCCTGTAGGAAATGCTACTCGCATCATTGACCAGAGAGTTTGCTAAGCCAGTTCTTCGATTAACAGAGATGTTTGTGTTTACGTCGGCCGTTTGATATTTTTGACCAAACTAAAGTTGCAGTTTGAAAACCTCCCGAGGAGCAGCGAGGTGGGGGTTGGGGTGGAGGTGCCGGGTGGAAAGGTAGTCTGTGAGCACTTCCTTTGCTTAGTGCCCCGTCCGAACAGAGAGACTCCCTGTTCCAGAAAGTTGGAAACACAAATAAACAAGCCCAGATGGCAGCTCTGGGGAAGGAACAGCGGCTGCTTGACTTCACAAATACTTTGTCTCTCTTCTTTTGGAAACTTGAGAGTACTGGACAGCCGCATGGATAAAACTGGGATTTTTTTTTTTTTCCAAAGCATGGCTATGTGGTTTTGGAGTATTAAAAATGAAGTTTCAGGGACCTTGCTTCCTGTGCAAATTTCCAGTGATTAATATTTTAAGTTCTTGTTTCAAAGTCATACTTCTAATTCTAATTAGTCACACGTTTTATCAATGGGATGTTTACATTAACTAAATGATCATGCTGGATATTATCTTGATTTTTTTTTTCAAGCTTGAACAGAAGTTCTCCCCTTTTTTGGTTTGCTCTGTAAACAGTGCATCTTTGTGTGAGAAGCAAAAGCAGTCCATTTTTCTTTGTCAAAAATTGAGCCGTGGAGCAAACAAACTCCTTTCAGGGACCTAGACAAAATCTGTACATATACTGTAAACGTATTTACATTTACAAAGCTACCAAAGAAAAATTGTCAACATTCTTCCTTTTATTTTAATTATGAAATTTAAAAGTAGATTAAGATGATAGTAATAAGCAGAGAATTAACCAAACCATCAGATGAACTTGTTGGTACTTTTTCAAAACCTAACATTTGAGAAAATACTTGTGATTTGGGGCTATGATGTCTCCATTGATTGTTTTATTACTTTTAAGACTCCTTTTAGTAAATCCATAAGACACTGCCTACTCTCCTCAACATTAAAACCTTGTCAGTTCTTAAATGTTTGGCCAGAGACATTTTGATTTGCATTTTAAGATTTGTTGCACCATCCCCCATAGGGTTTAAAGTAACTTGCAAATCTTTTCTGATGCATTTCCCTGTGGAACTCTTCGCAGTCTCAACCAAAGGAACACAAACCCCTTGAATCAGAAAGATCTAGAGCTTTCTTCAGAAGTCAGTTGGGTTTTGTTTTATTGAAGTCCTCTCTGCGAAAGGAATATAATTTCCACCTTCCACTCTGGGCTTTGGAAGAGGTAACAGACATTGCACGATCCTTGGCTAAGCATAGTCTGCAAATGTTACCACAGAAATAGGTCACATCTTAAAGTTGAACCTGATTCCTGTCTGGTCCAGGTATTTGGTCTCCTGCTGTTCCCTTTTCTTTCTTTATTCGTCCACATGTTGTTTTGTTTGGTTTTTGACTTTGCCTTCCCCTCAAAAGCCAAGCCTCTCAACATCAACTCAGGTCCTCAAACCACCTTTCTCTCTTGTGCTGCCTCTGACTTCCAATGGCCTGACACCAGTGAATAGTGCAATTGGGTGGACGGGCAGTGAGGAGGGGCACTGCACTTGCCAGTCTCCCATTAGCATTGGCAAGTCTGTCCTAGGCTTGCTATAAGGAATATTGAGTAGGGCACCTCCCGCCTTTCAGTGGCCACTGTGCAAAAACCTTTGAGGAAACAAAATGGGCTGGTGACAGCTGTGTGTGCTCTTGATGAACTTGTCCCTCACCTTCTTTTCTTCGGTTTTGCAAATAGAGGACATGAGACAGTCAGCTTCCAGAGAGAGCAAAGGAAGGAGACTGAAATTTCCAGTGTGATGGTAGTTATGATTGTCTTGCACAGCTTTCTTTTCCATTCAGTTGCCAGCTTTGGGGGAAGAGCAGGAACTTTGAACATTTTTTTTTAAACTTCTCTATGGGAAGAATAAAAGCTCTTCCTTAAGCACAGGGGTCAAAGTTTCTTGGTCCTGAGCTCTTTCACTCACTGTCTAGTTTGTAAACTTTGCTCCATCTTATTTTCCTCATCTGTAAAATGGAGAATCTGATGTGGCTTCCACCATAGAGTTGTTTTAAGGATTAAGGAGATAATACAAGATAATCTATTTGGAAAGGTATCTGATACTTAGTAAGCATTTACAAAAACTATTATTATCCCTCCTGGCTTTTTGCCAGGTTTGCCAACTATACTCATGAGGTTCAGTACAATTTTTTGTGTTTTTTTTTATTGTTTATATGTTTATTTTTTGAAAGTATATGTGTGTGTCACAGAATTTCTTAATGAAAAGCTAAATTAACTCACTGTATGATCCAAAAGGATTAGTCCAGTGCCTTGTATAATTCTTAAGTGCAATCTGAGTATTCATAGTCTTAAGGATTCTTAGAACATGTAAAGCTTTTTGGTTAAAAGTCTGCAATATTCAAATCCCAATAGAGTAACTTCCTTCTTTTGAAGTAGTTGAATTTCTGGTTGAGTATGTATCGACCAATGCAAAATATATTGAGTAGAGATTTGTAGCCTCTTACTTGTTTCCTTATGGGTAGAAAAAGAAACTCTCATTGCTTTTTGTCATCACTATTACTAGTAGCAACCAAAAATAATGTATGTATTTCTAGGAAGATGCAGAAAAATATTTGGAAATACACAGAGAAGTAAGGCAGAGTTTTGACCTTTAAGTATTTTATATTTGAACAGGTCAAATTAGACAAAGTGATGAACTCTCCAGTTCTGAAACTAAATTTTATCCTCCTGTGTTTTCTGTGCCCAGCACACTCTTTAGCACATGACCAATGACCAGTAAGCTTTGTAGAATTAGCAAATGAAAAATTACAAAATGAGATACAAGAGAAGCTGGAGAGGTAATACAGCGGCTAAGATACCTTACATGCAGCTAGACCAAGATTCAATCCCCAGCAGGACTCAGGTAATAATCCTGAGACCTGCCTTGAGCACAGAGTCAGAAGTAAACTCTGAGCACCACTAGGTGTGCTCCCTCACCCCAAAAAGAAGATATAGAAAGTTTCAGGGGAAAATTTTTATTTGGGATAGTATTCACTGGAACTTGACTAACTTTAATTGAATGTGAAGAAAAGAATAGGATTAAGAAAAGCAGAAAAAGATTAAGAGGATAAGGCCATTTCAGGGTTACTGAACAGAGCAGTGAGTTAAGGGAGGTTTTGAAGAGAGAGGCAGAAATAAGGTTGTAAACAAATGGGATACAGCATGCTTTGACTTAGCTAAAGAGAAAAGTCTAATTATAACAGGGCTAATAACAAGTGTCTGCAGATGATGGGCAGCAGTAAGGATGCAGTGCAGGAGGTAGGTAACAGACATTATAATTGGAGAAGTAAACATAACCTGGATATGAAGGGCCAAAAGGAGGACCTGAAGTGATAGTACAGTGGTTAGAGAGCTTGCCTTGCACACAGCCAACCCTGGTTCAATTCCTAACATCTCATGTGGTGACCCAAACCCACCAAGACTTCTCTCTGAGCTCAGAGCCAGAAGTAAATCCTGAGCCTGACCATGAGGGGGTGGGGGAAGGGAAGGAGAAGGGAAGGGAGAGGAGGGGAAGAGGAGGAGGAGACAGAATGAATTCAGGACCTGAGTAACTGGGAATCAATGATGCTTCTTAAAGAAGGCCATCCTTCCAGGAGAGTATGGGGTGAAAGCAGTTCTGTATAGAAGTGTTGCATTTGAAGTATTTAGGGACTGTTCAACAGAGGCGCATAGCTGGGAATGACAACTTCTCAGACTATCTGGATAATCTTTAAGAGAATAAGTGTCTGATGTTGAGTCGTATTTAGCCTCAACCCAACAAAATTACAGAGAATAAAGAATAAAAACTGCCCCCAGCGCCGTGTTACCCCATCAACGGCCAAGACCCAGGGACTATAAAACCCAGCTCCCGGAAGCGCGTGGCCACAAATAAGACCTCTTATTGTCTAGTTCTTTCTCTTGGAGAACCCAACAGGCTACCAAGTGTATCCTGCTGCATGGCAGAGTCTGGCAAGCTCCCTGTGGCGTATTCAATATGCCAAAACCCAGTAACAATGATGGGTCTCATTCCCCTGACCCTGAAGGAGCTTCCAATGTGGCACTTGGTAAAAATCCCAGGACTAGGATGAATGGAGATGTTACTGGTGCCTGCTTGAGGAAATCGATGAACAACAGGATGACAGTGATACAGTGAAAGACAATCAGAATTGTGAAGCAACATAGAACTTAAAGAAAGGAAGGGATTCCAGAAGCTAAAAGTGGTCAGTGATTTCAGGTATCATTGTATCACTGTCATCACTGTCATCCCGTTATTCATCGATTTGTTTGAGCCGGCACCAGTAACATCTGCATTTGTCCTAGCCCTGAAATTTTAGCAGCCTCTCCTTACTCGTCCTTCCCAATGGTGCTGCATTGGAGACTCTTTCAGGGTGAAGGGAATGAGACACATCATTGTTACTGTATTTGGCATATCGAATACACCATGGGAGCTTGACAGGCTCTGCTGTGCAGGTAGGATACTCTTGGTAGCTTGCTGGGTTCTCCGAGAAGGAAGGCTAGACTATAAGAGGTTTCAGGTACTAGAGAATTTTCAAGAAGTATG